ACGGGTGGGCTTGATGGGGTCTGGGACTTTTGCCCAGCGTAAAATTCCTTCCTTCTCTGGATCGCTTGGGATGGTTCTCTCGTTGTGGCTGATTACTTCTGGGTACTTGCAATATCTGTAAATAATAAGTCAAATAAATCTAATAAAAAGTTGCGAATGAATGAACGAGATCCACTATGAGAGAAATAGGTCTTATTGAACTGTCTCATCATTTATTACATTACTTTCTTTATGGCGTTCAACTATTTTAAGGTTTGCCATTATTTTATTACTAAATTAGCACAAGTCAAACGGTGTTTTCCTAATTTTCCCCTTTCTCTAGTTTTTTTGCCTCCCAACAGTCGGATTCCGTTACCCCAATCAAACTGTATTTTTCAAGAAAGTTGAAATCAAGAAACCAAGTCTCACTTCTTACGCTCATCGTCGGGTTCCATCATCCTCTCCAATTCTTCACCATATTTCCTTGTAAAGCAAGCCATTGCATCGGCCTAAAAAACATGATGATGAGCTACACATTAAACCCATTAAATCCTAACTGTCTCATTTGCCGGGTCACCATTGTGTCCATACACGTGTTGGAAGAGTATTGGCCTTTCAAAATTCGATGCAACATCCATGAGTGGGCAGATTCTGAAAAAAGACCAAATTTGACGATTATTAATATTCCAAACTCTTCGCGAATTTGCTTAAAACGTGCTCCTTTCAATCTCAAGTTCAATCCTCGGATCATATTCAGGTTGTCAGACCTAACGATGACTTCTTCGGGTCTAGAAGAAGGAAATGTTAAAAATGCAACAAGCTTAATTTATTCGGATAAGGCTCGATAGTTTTGCAATCCGGTTTTAAAGCCTATTTTCAGTAGTTGTCAAATCCACAATTTATTTAACTTCATATCAAATGGTCCTTACCTATATTTCCAATTGAATAATTTCTCAAGAGCCGTCTTTGCTGCTAAGATTTCCAGATAGGTGGCACGGTCGTCCTTATCCATGTCGTCGAGCTTCTTTTTCGTTTCATCGTTCAGAAGAACGGAACTAAACGAGAGTCATCAAGTCAAATAACATGAAACGCACAAGTTTAAAGGGTGTCTTTTTCCAAAAAACCCTGCACATGCGGCTGTGTGGATGCCGTTCACACTGTTAGGATCATAGCTTGCATCCGTGTAACACTAAAATCAACTATATATAAAAGTCAATTGACTGTGGCGTGTGTCACGCTTTTCAGATAACAGGGAACCCAAACTTCAGAGAACTCTAGCTCTATGTAGATCAAAATACACAACACACCACGATCGTATTAGGCGAGAAGGATTCGTTGAAAGCTACCGTGACTCCCTCCGTTCCATGGTCTTTTGGAAATCCTAAACGAAAACAATGTAGTATTCGTTTCCACCTTCGTTTTCTTGGCCGTTCTTTGACCGATTAATCTGAAATCTTCTCTACAGGTAGAGCTCGGCATTAACCGCTCGTAGACAAAATTTCAGACCAATCGATCAAGGAGCAACCAAGACACGAAGGTGGAATTAGGTTCGGGACGGAATTTGCCCATGTCTAGTATTCATGAAAAAGCGAATGTGCTAGATCGGATGCGTTTGTCTTATAAAAGAAAGAAAAGCATCAAACCAACCATATTGTTGAGCATCATAGGAGAAAGCATTTTCGCCTGTGGTCTTGTCATCAGCTCCGGCCGCGAGTCCTGGGAATAAAAAAAAGGTAATTTGGCAAAAAAAAAACAAACTTTCAGTCGCGGAGTCGCCCCAGCAAAACGACCGAAATAGGGAATATAACGCACTCAAACAGCCACACATGAATCGAATTTCGAAGTTGAATGACTTGATTTTGATTCATCTGACTCCTTATCACTTCTGCATGTAAATTCCCGGCTAAATGCTAATTTTGAGTAGGTCTTTAAGATCATGTATTTCTCTTTGCTGTTAAAAATATAGATTCTTACTATTTTATTGCATGCAATCATTGAAGCAAAAAGGGTATAGTGATGAAGGCGCTAAAAATGCATTTTACAAATCGAATTTTAATGTTTCACCTCAAAACGATGAAAGTATTGTGATCCATTATATGATAGTTCGGTTCTTTCCGTTGAATCTCCAATCCAATCAATACAATCAATCGAAACCGAGATCCGACCATAAAATCTTTAAAATGCTATATGTCAGATTCTTAAATTTATATTCACTTCACTAATTCGGTTTCAGGTAGTAGCTTTTTGTCTCCCAATTTCTTCAATTTTGGTAAACTTTCTCTCCCATAAAAGGTTCAAAAAGTGGGTCCAAATTGGGGTAGATATCCATCTTCACCAGGTGAATAAACGTCCGAAAGAGGCAAACTCGTCTAAACAGTAAATTTAGGAATATTTTCAGAATGTTAGCCTACTTCAAGTATCAATAATGACATCAATTAGTTAAAGCAGCTAACCTGTGCAATAATTCGATTTTTCTTACCACGATGCATAATGAGTTGAAAGTGGAACTAAACTAGCATAATGAATCGGGTAATAGATCATTGGATGCACCTTGTTAATCACAGTTGGCCATAGAAAAGGTAACAAGAGTTCTTGATCAAAACTGACTGCTGACCCTTTCAACAACTTCAACGATGTCACTTCAGTGCAATCGCCAGAAAACGCCTTAAAGGAAAAAGTTTTTAATTAAACGTTCAAAAGAACCTTGATGCAGAATGAAGCTGTTTTCGGTTTCTTGCCTTTTGAAAGAATGTTATGACGCACTTCAGAAATCAATTGAAGCAGCCGATGAAGTCGAATCTGAACTCACCAACTGCAAAGTGATAAAGTTGGAAATGCTTCCTACTCTCAGAGTATGTCCAGTGAAATGACGAGCATTGAAAATTTCCTCACTTTCGTCATCATCTTCAAAGATTGGCGGCGTATCTCGAGCTCCGTACACGGCAATTGAGGCCTAATTGGAAATTTAAAAGCGATATTCTGACATTGACATCTTCATTGTTAACTTTGAGAATGTTGTATTTATTACTTACCTTTATGAATCCAATATCTTCATCTCTTTCTGCTCGCCTTCCATCTTTTGGCGGTGGAGCAAGTGAAATCCATTTGTTGAGCACAACACCGCCCGGCTGATGCATTATCTGAATCAATCATCAAATGTTTTCTACAAATTTTCACCATTGCGAGTGGACATTCAAATTGGCCAAGAAGTTTGTCGTTGAGCACTCGACGAACGGCGTAAGCCTAAGAATCATTAGATCACAGAGGTGAAACACAAAGTTTACTCGAATAGAAAACATTTTGTTCGCGGCTTTTTCAAGTGACTCTTCAATGGCAAAATTGAGGTTTTGTTGCCATTTTGGGTGAAGTTCGGTTGTGACACGTGTAGGCTAAACATGGTGTGATATACTAACTAAACAATTAAAAACAACCTTTGTTCGCCCATCAAGTCCCACCCGAACACGTAGATTGCCGCTGTCCCGAAGATTTCGTGATTCGATGACTCTAACGGTCATCTAAAAACAAGCTGTGAACACTGCTTTATAAACTTACAAAAACGTTTTGTTTCCCATCCGTGTGTTCAAACTTTCGGCCGACCAGGCGCTCCTCAAGCTCTGTGTCGTCACTTTCTGTGTCTTCAGACTCTTTGCCACTAGTTTCCCCTTCAGTGTCGGTCGATTGACCCTAATTTGAAAGTGATTTGAAAATAGCCCGTCAAGGGTTTTGTATCAAAAAGAAAAATTATACTCAGGCAAAATATCGGTAAAACGAAGCAAAAGAAAAGAATGTGTCGTGTAAATGGTTAAAGCACAAAAGTTGTTTTTGTTTTACGGTTGAATTAAGCTATAAACAAGAGACTGCGAAAGGGGCGGTTAAAAAAGGAGATACTAAAATTTGGGCGCAAGACAATTGCTTTCACTTCGATTGAAAAATGAAACGGGAAAACCATGCGCCTACCAGAGTCTGGTAACCAGACGCAACTTCGGGAGTGGGACAAATGCGACCTTTTTTTGCGCACCCGGACTTTTGCGCACCCGGACATTTGCGCACCTTTTTTTCCGCACTTGGCCCATTAGCGCACCTTTTTTCGCGTTTTAAAAAAGCTCTAAAAGCTAATAATAACCAATTTCGATTCCAAAAGTTGTTTTTCTAGGTAATTTGAGGGTGTCGAATTCAAATTTTGGCATATCAGAGCTTGTGGAAGCGAACAGACGGAGTTATACAAAGAGAAAAATCAACAATTGTCTGTAATTTGACCTAGCCGTTTTGTCTTTCAAATTGGTTCCACACGCTCTGTTATATCAAAATTTGAATTCGACACCCTCAAATTACCTAGAAAAACAACATTTGGAATAGAAATTGCTTAATATTAGCTTTTTAGAGCTTGTTTAAAACGCCAAAAAGGTGCGCTAGTGGGCAAGGTGCGCAAATGTCCGGGTGCGCAAAAAAAAAAGGTAGCATTTGTCC